AGGTGGTTGTTTCTGGCCTCCTTTTTCTTTGAAAATGGGAAGGGCACAAGAGACAGAAGACTCACTAGGAGCTTGAGAAGTTACAGAAAACGGCAGGTCAAAGCAGCCTGTCTGGACCAGATCAAAAAGAGAAGCCACAGTTAACACAGGAAGGAAGGAAGGAAGGAGTTTTCTTATTGCTATATTTTACTATTCAAAGTTGGGGGCAGCCTGAAAATTAAAGGGGCAAAATGAATGGATCAGAAGAGCCTCCATTTAAAGTTGTTAGTAAGAACTTCCTTGCTGAGTCTTTCATGCAAAACTATTTTAGAAGCTGGGAAAGAAAGATATAAGACACGGTCCCAGAGTTCAAGGCTGGGGTAATATCAGGACATCCCGGAGAAAGGGAAAGAGACACACAGAGGCACATTTCAAAGGTAGTGGCATTTTCTCTTACCCTGGCAAATGTGACTGCTTTGGAGGAAAAAAAAAGAAGTATTTTGTGGCCATATGGCACAGATAATTTGGTGGCTTTGTGGGTGAAAGGGTAGAGTTGTTGGTTCTCCTGAGACAGGCTCTTATTCTCTAGCCTAGGCTGGCTTTGAACTTGTGATTGTTTCTGCGCTGGTCTCACAAGTTCCAAGATGATAGCTGTGCATTGCAATGCCTGGCATTGGTATCCATGAATAACTGCAAACTTTAGGTATAGTTTCTAGGCACTGTGAGGAACAGACTGACAGACTGAAGAGTGATCATTTCTTAAAATAGACTCAAAGTAGTCACTGCTGACGGAACCATTCACAAATGTCTCCAGGGGCTGGAGTGGCGACTCAGCCATTGAGAGCACTAGCTGCTCTTCGTACAGGACCCTGGTTTGATTCCTAGCACCCACATGCCCTCTTCTGGCATCCTGAATAGACACACAATATACATATATGTATGTAGGCAAAATACTCACCCATATAAGATGAAAAATATTCAAAAACAAAGAAACATGTAATGTCTCCAGACATGTCTTGGGGATGGACAAGACCCTGACAGTGGTATTTGGTCATTATTGTTGGTTTAACTCATAAATAAGAAATGGAAAAAAAAAAAAGAAATGGAAATTCCACAATACTGATTCAGTTGACTTCACCGTCGGTGGTGAAGTCAAATATAAATTGATCACGAGGCACAGAGTTTCATCATGGGAGTAGAAGGGGCTGGAAGTCTGAGACATCATTAAAAAGAAGAGTTGGGAGCAGTCATGGCATGCATGCTCAGAATCCTAAGCTCTTGCAAGGCCCAGACAGGTGAATCGCCGAAGTTTCTGGGCTATAGAGTGAAACTCTATCTCGGGGACAATTTCTCTACCCAAAGAGGTGGAATCAAAACATGATTCTCAGATAATCAGTGGCAGTAGTTACATTGTTCACAATCGTTCTCATCCCTACACCCAAACAGCACACGGGCAGCAATGTTTCTGAAGGAGGCGATGGACTGACAGGGACACACAGACCAGAGCAGGTCCAGCTTCCTAGGAAACACCTCAGAAGCAGCAGCATAGACAAGCGACTTAGTAGTATAACTGACAAAGCAGGTTGGGGGAGGGGGAGAAAATGGGACCAGAATAGAGCAATTAAAAGGGAGATCATAGTCATAATGGGAAGGAACAGGAGGAAAGCAGTTTGGTAAGACACCATATAGCACGAATAATAAAAACCCAGAGCTGGATATTGGGGTTCAACCTGAAGATCAGAAAGGCAAAACAGTCAACCACTGGCTCTTACCTCTACCTCAGACTGAAAATCCTGCCTCCACTAATCTTCAGAAAGAGACTGAGCTGAAGCCTTTCTCCTCCTGTCTTAGACTCCTCCCGAGTGCTGGGATTAAAGGAGTGTGTGCACCACCACTAGTGTGGCTGCTGGGATTAAAGGTGGAAGCCACCACTGCCTGGCCTGTATGGTGGACTAGTGTGGCTGTTCTCTATTCTGTTCCTCAGGCAAACTTAATTCACTAAAATACAAATGAAATACCGCTGCAACCCTGAGGAGTGAGCACTGAAGATGTGGTGAGGAAACCCGCTAGTGGGTCCGTGAGTGCGTGGTGGAGATTTGTAACCTCAGCCGAAATAAACCAGATGAGGCCGGTGGATCATATAATTGTTTTTAATCTGTAATTAAAATAAAGACAATCAAACCTTAGGCTGTGTGTGACTGTGCTATCTTATTCTATAGGAAGGTCTAGTATCACCATTATAGAATATTTAGTTGGTCTGTTAGTGACGGAAAAACTGATGCAGGATTTAGGGTAAGATCTTATAGCCAGGGATAAAAACGAGGTTTGGTTCTAGGGGTATCAACTGATGTCCTTGATAAAAGACCTTTATTTCTATTGAAAAATTACAGTGAACTTACTAGAAAACTTCCCTAATTACTACCCTTCTCTGGGTGCTCACTGTTAGAGGCTTGAAATAAAGAACTCCAAGCTCCAGTGCTTTGTGGGAGGACAGGCAGGAGAGAAAATCCACCAGCAGCCTGGCGGGAGAAAACCTTTCAGAGTGGAAAGCCACATTACTGCCTCGATTCCTCCTACTAATGGTGAGAGGTGAGGTGAGGCACTGGAAGCCAAGTGTCTGTCCTTCTAGTAAGGACATTCCCATCTCCGACAGAGAGTGTGCCTCATACTCTGACATTGATTCAATGTCTTCATTTGGGACATTTTCTCATAGTGAAATCTCTTGGGGGCAGAAGCACCTGTAGCTTCTAGGCGTTGGCATCAGGCATTCTCATTGCTCTCTGAGCGCTGACGCTGACAGCAGCTGCTCAGGGTGCACTACAAGACTCTCCCCGGGAGCCTGCAACAGACCGTGAACATCATTGAGTATGTGAATTTGGAAAGGCTAGGAAAGCCAGGGACAAATGATCAGTCAAACCAACAACATACGGTTGGAGGAGGCACCAGACAACCAGAGGTGGGAGGCAATAGGACCCACCACACAATTCCCAACAACAGCAAGATTCCAGGGGTGACAAACACTCTAGGCACACTACAAAGTGACCTGGAGAGAGACCTGGGGCACATGAGCCGGAGTGCGACAGCGCGGAGAGTAACAGATTAGCCCCAAACTAGAAATACAGCCTAGTCATGTGCCACCAAGCAGAGCTAACCAAGAACCAACCTTCTCATGCCGCATCCTCGAAAGTACTGAGTCTACCACATGCAGCCGTGTAAGGAAGGAAAAGGCTCAACAGAATGTGTCCCCCACTGACTTCACTTTTTAGTTGGCAGTAAAACAAGGGGAGAGTAAGTTGTTGAGTATATGACTATTAAAAGGACACCACCAACTAAACTAAACTAAACTAAACTAAACTAAACTAAACAACTAGGAGTGTGGGTTATAGCCCAAAACATACTAGTGTTGCCTAATACTTCACAATGGGTTCATATATTAGAAACAATTTCTATATTTAGTTTTATTTTCTCCCAGCACAGTGAAACTCCACTATGTTATCACTTCACTCAGGATGCTGCAAGGTCTCATAATTTCCCCAGATCCATCTTTTGTCAGGTCTTAAAGAGAAGGCCTGCCATCTCAGCGCTCCATTATCTAAGGAAGAGGTCCGTAATTTCCTGTTCATATTCTCCTCGCACGGGACGAAGGCTAAATACAGATGTGTCTGCATGTTGATGGCATTGTTTCAAGGGCCAAAGATACTATAGTATCACTGATGTTTCCCAGAGGGGCTTGAGGTGCAGGATGGTGAAGGCCTCTTTTTGTTGATGCTGCAGAATCTGAGTGAATTCTTACAGAGCAGCTTCCATGGGGCTGAGTATCAGTGACTCTCGCCCTATGTTCTGAGCCACGGCTGCTTTCCCCTGGTTCTACAAAAAGAAAACACAAGGATTTCTGTGCTTGGAGGCAATAGGAATTTCCTGTCTTTGCTGTTACTTAGCAGCCGGAGGACATTGGTAACTGTAAGACATCAGTCTGAATTGAGCTATTTAGGTGAAATGGGCTATTTGCTTCTCTCTAGTCACTCTGTTTTTGTCATATGACAAGAAATACTGTTCATGGCATTTTGGACCCAAATTGAAACTACAGTGTTTGAACTTGAGAATGCCTGTTTCATTAGGTCATTATTTCCCTCCTGAAGTTTACCAATCCCGCTTCATGGAAATGTCCCTTCTCTGTCTGTTAGGAGTTGCTCCTGAAACTGCAACAAGAAAGGGCCGATTTTGTTCTCTTGACATGTGAATGTCCTCACTACAAGTTCTGACAGAAATGCTGGACTGGTGTTGGAGAGGCTAGTAACCAAGCGTCAGTACAAATGTAGCTTTTATTCATAGACACACACCGGCCTTATGACTGACTGACTTCGTTTTAAGCTGGGAACCTCGGCATGATTGGCATCTTGATTGACACCATTCTTTGTCTCGAAGGTCCATCTGGGTAGTACAGGGTATTTGGTAGCAATCGAGACCTCAGCCTTGGAGATATCATTAGCTCTGACCTCTAGGGACACCAAAAAAAACGCCTCGACATTCCTATGGATGGGAAGTTACCTTTTGTTAAGGACCACACTCTGGAATCTCAACTTCCTCATCTGTAAAGCAAATGCTAATGAGAGTTGAGAGCTGCTGTTTACAGTGTGTGTGTGTGTGTGTGTGTGTGTGTGTGTGTGTACACTTGTGGTGCTTCCAGAGACTAGAAGAGGGCCTCAGATCACCGGACTGGATTCACAGGTAATTGTGAGTGCCAGGAAGCGAGTTCTGGTCCTCTGGCAGAGCAGTAATTGGTAGTCCGCTCTCTGACTATAAGACATTGCTACTTCACAGATCCGTTTGTGGGTGACAGCTTTGGTATGGCTCAGCTGGCAGAACAGACGAGGATGCTAAGAGAAACTCGTTCCATTTGCAACTGTAAAATTGGAGGCAGGGCATTTACTGATGCGTCTGTGTTTATAAACCCTCTAATGGAATGCAAGCTGAAGATTTGAGTCACATTGCCACTGAAGTTTATTTTAAGGTTGAAGATCTTACAAATATAAGAAAATTAGAGTGTGGTTAATCCTTGTAGGATAAAAGATATATATATTTTCTAGGAGCCTGTTCCTGCCCAGATCTTGGAATAATATCAATGGATCTCAGCTGTTCAGTGATACTCTCATATGCTGCACCCATGGTCCAGAAGCTGAGGGTTCAGCCGGAAGCTGCTGTCCTGGACAATGTTCCAGCCCAAAGGGAAGCATGGGATGGTGAGCATGGCTTCACAGAAGACAGCTCAAGGAAGGAGGGCTCATGTTCCACCTGAGATCAAAGCCTATTGTTTGGTGTAGCTAAAGGGATGGCATAAATGGGAGGCCAATTCCATTCACAGCAGGAGTGAGCTCTCCAGGGAAGGCAGAAACCCTTCTGTCGCTTGTCCTCTGTGAAACTGAGAGAACCTCAGTCTTGTTCATTATCCCTTAGACCAAGATTCAAAACTTTAGACCCCTTTAAGGACACTTACAAGCTCGAAAGCTTGCCTGGAGGACTCTTTTCATTCGTATCTCACATCGTATGAACAAAAACATCCGCAAACTTTGACAAAGCAAAATTGAGATCCTTGGCACTCAATTTTGTTCTTTTATTATCTCTTCCATGGGAAAAGAGGAAGGTTACTGAGTGCAGCTGTTAGATACAATTCCGGCTTTGTGCAAGCCGCTTTTGCATAATGACAGGCAGAGAGAGGAGTACAAAAGATTCAGAAGCACAAACAGAACAAATTAAAAGGTGAGCAGAGCTTAAAGCAAGTCTCTCGTGGCCGCTGGTGATGACTCACGTTGTCTAAAAACAGACTGAGGTGCTGGACGTTGAGGGCGCGGAGGGGAAGGAGACAAAGTGAAAAAGGGACCTGAGTTTGGGGCTTAACTCCCATAAGTGGGACATTAAACAAATAAGCCTGCAGATGACAAAATACGTAGAAAGTTAAAAAGCAGTTTTCACTCCCTTTGAACCCGTATTAGTTTTCTTAAGAGACATGGACATCCGTGACGGAGCACCTGCGACAAGCTTAGAGTCATCCAGCACATTGTAAAACAATATTAACTTGATTGGCAGCAGAGGAAAGCAGAATATTATTTTAGTATACTAGAGTATCTGGCCCTTTAAATTTTAGTACATAAAGACAATTTTGATGGAACAGCAAACATTTTCTTCCTGGTCTTAAACCTGTAATAAAATGTTGCTGACAGACTAATTAAGAATGCTGTATGTGCTCAGTGCCTATGTGCTCCTCGCTAAGGCAATTTAATTCCCATTAATGCTAAGCTCGTTAATACCCACTCGGAGAGCAAGGCGCACTCTCAATAAACTGTTGATTCATTTGAGCCATTTAGACAGGGGACAGGCAAGAAGAAGGGGATTCCACCCACAACTGTGCTTCTCTGAATGTTTTCCAATTGTTAATGAACTTTAGGTTGTAAAGCCTATGAGAAGGAAATGAGGAGGCGGGCAGAGCGATTGAGTGACAGGTCTCTCAATCTGAAAACTGGGGGAGCTGGAAAGGCTTCCTAACAGAGGTCAGGGATGAGATACTACACAGAAAGGAAGATTTTTGCTTTCAAGAACAAGGAAAGTAGCACTCTGCTACACTTGTGGTTGTTTCTGCCCATCTTCCCTCAATAGAAGAATTCAGGAATTTCTCTGCAACTCAGATGACCACCCATGGGTCAGATTTCCTAGGCTCAGCGCTCTTTGATCAGCCAAGAGGCAAGACAGGCTCCCTAGAGAGCTTGTGTCCCCATCTCAGTGACTTCCATGAATACAGCAATGTAATGAGGCTGTGTGCCATAGGCCAGCCTGGAACTCAGATTGCAGTAACAAGGCCCCTCTGCCCTCCTGGGGTCACTCCAGAGCTTCTAAAGCAACAGGTGTCTGAAGCAACCCCCTCTCCCTGTCATAAAATAGAGTCAAAGTGGCAGACAGGATTTTGCTCAGGATCCAGCACCAGGCTTTAGGACAAGTCATTCAACCTCCCTGAGACTCAGTTTCCCTTGCCTCTAAAATAGAAAATGATGATCTCCGAAAATGCCCTACACGCTTACAGCAGTAGTGTGAGGGTCAAAACTACAATGGAAAACTGCCCTGTGCCCACGTAGAGTATCATTAACTGCGAAGTGACTTGGCAGAAAAAAAGTAGTACAGGAGAAAGATAGAAAAAGGGAAGGCCAGGTCTCAACTCTATCAGGTTTCTATACTTCACAGAAGGGAGGTTTACTCTGAGAATTTTCTTAAACAGTTTAGCGGTAACTGGTGCTTATCCTTGCAAAAAAGTGCTCAGAACATAAACAAACTGAAGATGGGAGGGGCTTGGGTAAATGAAATCTCCTTTCCTGCTGCGCACAGATTTGATGCTGGTTATTCATGGGAACAGGAGAAAAGAATAAACTACCGCAACACATACTTAATACACAAATATTAAAATGTCTTTTCTCTACCGACTGGTAAAAAAATATATTATATTTTGATATTTTTTTTCTTTTTAAATTATATCTGCTATCCATCCCAGCCGAAGTCGCGGCCGGTCATCTGGTAGAACTTGCGGTTGAAGGGCCTGTAAAAGTCTCGCAGCTGCCGCAGCACCTCGCGCGCAATGGCGGGGTGCGCACGACCCTTGGTCTTGCCCAGGCAGTGCGGCTTGCCGCTACCCTCCGCCTTCTTGAGGCACGGGAAGCCCTTGGTCTGGTTGAAGTAGAAGTGTTTGTCGGTGATGATGCGCTTGAGGCCCAGGAAATCCTGCACGCGGCGCAGTTCCCCAGCCGGGTCGCTGACCAGACGCTCCCCGCTCACGAAGAGCATCTGGCCCAGCGGGAAGTGGCGCAGCCAGGGCTCCAGATGCTTGGCATACAGGCCGATCTGGATGGCGCTCCAGGACGTGTCGATGAGGCCCGCGCTGCGGTTGCGGAACGTCAGGCTCTCGAAGCTGGGGATGTCCGGCCGCTTGGATAGCGTCTGCGTGTAATCCGAGATGGCCCTGGTCACGGGGTCGCGCACCACCACGATGAGCTTGGTGTCCTTGGACATGGCCGAGATGCGTGCTGGTGCCTCCCGGGTCACGAAGTAGCTGGGCGTCTTCTCCATGGTGATCTGTCCCTCCAGGGTTCTGGGCATCAGGTCTCTGTGGGAAGCAGAAAGCATGTTAGAATCTGGGGAGAGAGTAAGCCAAGTCTCCTTCTGGACCCCAAGAACGGGAGAAGCATCCAATCTGAGTTCACATGTTCCTGGCTGGTTGTAGTTGCAGCTCCCGGACTTCCTGAATGCCAACTGGCCTTAACTGCTCTAGATTCCTTGAGCATGGGCCTCGGAACATGCATATTGCTCCTGTCAGACAATTCTTGTGGCAATTAATACACCTCAAGCGCTCAGAAATGCTCCCAACACAGAATAAAGACTCTGTTAGTTATCCATCTATGATACTCGGCACCAGCGCTTTCTGTAGGTGAATTACAACGTCATAATATCAAATGACATTAAAATACCCGATGCCATTCTGTCCATACCTGCCCCAAGTGTAGCTTTGTCCTTTATACACATGCCAATAATTTCTCTCAAAAAGGGTTTCCTCATTAACAAAGGAATTCTTTTAAGGACTTATTTTATTTTTTAACTCTATGTGTTTTTGTACAATTATGTGTGGGTTTGTGCAAATGACGACTGGTACTTCTGGTGACTGGAAGTGGCCCTTGGCTCTCCTGGGGCCTGAGTTAAAGATGACCATGTGCCTCCTGAGGCTAAACTCTGGTCCTCTGAAAGAGCAGAAGGTGCTCTGAATCTTAGCCATCTCAGCCCCTCCTTTGAAGTCGAATATCAAAATGTACAACTGTCTCCCCTTTCAACGATTTACTCTACCCTACTTTTGGTTACTTGTCTCCAACAACAGCCCAAAATGATTGTACAGAGATTTCAGGCCTAAACAATCTGTAATTTTTAAATCGCATGCCGTTCCAAGCAGCACAGTGGAATCTCCCACAGTCCCCTTCTGTCTATCCAGGACACGAATCATTCCTTCGTCCAGCATATCCGTTTTGTATACACTACCTGTCTGTTAGTCACTCATTCAAACTGGCTGTTACCTTATCAAAGCTCCTGTGCAATGGAGGCCCCAAAGGCAAAGGACGGTGACAAGGACACCCGTGTCCCGCACACAGGAGCACACATAATGCTGCAGCTGCATGCAAAGGGACAGGGCATGTGGGGAAAACAAAGGGGGGGGAGGCGGCGGTATTAGCCTGGATTTCAGACCCCCACTGGGGCTCTTTGTGGGGCTGGTAAGCCTCATGAGTCCCGAGAAAATGACTTTTATATAACACAAAATGCTTGTCTCCACAGCTCCTCAGGGTTCCTTCCATCTCGTTTGTAATGGTTTGAAAAGTCCCGATTGTCCTGGTCTAAATATCTTTATTTCCTTTCTATTCCTTTGGCGTTTGATAGGAGTCCCTTCCATCCAGGGCTGATAATGCCTGTGTTAGGGGCAGGAAGGAGAGTGTGGGCACTGGGTGCCTTCCTCTTTCCTGTATGGACACTGACCTGCTCTGATACTCTACCTTGTCTTGGGTGGATTTGAGACAATTACAATGTTTCTTAAAATCATCTAGTGAGCATTCTGTCACTATTCTTGGCCACAGTTTGTGTATTCTGTCTTTCTTCATTCCTTCTTGGTCAGACCCCCGCCCCATTTTCTAATTCACTGATTTGCATTTTAGCTTTTTTTTTTTTTAATGCTTCCTTTGTTTTTTAAAGCTGTGCTTTGTTGGTCCCTTCCAAGGTTTAACTACATGTTTTGTTTTTTTTTTAACTTCCAGTCTGTCTTCTTTATTTTTCAGTTGGGACTTGATCGATCAACTTTCTTAAGCATCATCATTTTTGTCAGTACCCATAAGTTACACTGAAGAATTCTGATTTCCCTTTTGAGGCACGTATCACCCATGACTCTTTATTTTTTAATTCTCACGGTGGTTTTGCTTTCACAGTTCTGTAGTATCTATTTTGCGTTTGTACTAAAAAGGTTCTGCTCTGTGTTGGACGCTTCTCCTTGCTGCTGCATTGCCATCTTCCTCACCTACACTATCTGCTAAGTACACATTACGTGGGAAATGTCAAACGTAAAAGATGAAAATATGTCAAGTAAGCCTCACGCACGTCATACCTCCTTCAAGAACACATAATGATGGCCAATTTCATTTATGAGCTTCCCCCCCACCCCATCTACTCCCTAACCATGCCAACTGGATTGTCTTAAAGCCAACTGGCAGACATGTGCTCAATTACTTCGCAAGTATTTGTGCTCCCATGTGGGTTATTTCTGGCACACATTCCTTGGCCTTTGCAGTGTCTAGTGCTAACAATGCCTCGGCTCATACAATGGAGTGAGTCTTCCTCCTTTATTTGTTACTTTGGCAATTTTAATCACATGATTTTCTTCTTCTTTGAGGGAGAATGATAGTTGGATGCTTGATTTATGGTGCTCAGCTCTTATTTTTAATATTTAAAGAATTTTGCAATTTATAAAAGGATACGTCACTTTAACCATCTCTTAAATATACCTCGAGGACTGGGTGTAGGTGGGCACAGAGTGCATGCCACTTGACTGAGATGCCCATCACCCTTCCTCACCTGTGCCTGCCAGCTTCTCTGAGGAGTCAGACCAAGCTGCCTCCGAAACTTACGATGCCCTTGTACAAGCCTGTCTGAAGATGGTGGGATTTCCCAGTGAAAGGAATTTGATCAAATTTATGAAAAAATGTTGGGCTCTAAGAAAACACCAAATACTCTGGAGGGGTGAAGGGTGTGCGTTGTCTTAAAGACACAGAGGCAGATCTCTGCCTCTTTGTCTGGACTCTATGAGTTATAAAGACTTGACTTCACATTTTGCCTTGGATCTTAAAGAGATAGCAGACTGCTCTCTGGAGCTCTTGGCTGGCTTGTCTCTGGAAACTCCCGGGGAACCTTCCTCAGAGACTGAAGATGCAGTCTGTGCTTGGCCAAAACAGACACTCCTAAACCTCAGAGAAAGGGGGCATAGTTTAAAAAGCCTATCCCAAATCGGTGCTTGAAGGGAGATGGCCCAAACAGGACTTCCCAAGAAAGCTAGCCTCATCACCTCCTATAACTCAAGGGATGGAGAAACCCAACTGGTTAGAGCGGGAGTAGAGATCTGCTGCATCACGGGTAGCAATTCAAGAGCAAGAGTTCTGGAGACTGATGGCACTGCGCATGTGTGGTCAGCGCTCCAGATCCATTAGGACACGGAGACGGTAAACTTTCAGCTAAGCACAGTTTACAACGAGTCTTCAGTTTTAAGCACTCAAGAAGGAACAAAGGCTTTGAAAGCTGGATCTAGCTAGATTGCATCTTTCAACTTAAAGATAACTAAGTGCAGGGGGTGAGTACGCAAAGGGGCTGTGGTTTTGTTTTCATCTTGCTAGACCAAAGGGAAATAAAATAATTTTTGACAGTTTGTCAAGCTGATCTGAAATCAGAAAATCGAGTTTGTGGCTTATCCCTTCTAAAGGCTGCCAGGGCTCAGGGGAGACAACTTAAGCTCAACTTATTCATTTCAACAGAAAAGACAAGTTTAATGCCTCAGGAATCCGGCCTTTAAAGGACTGTCCACATGACTGCTGCAGAGCTCATAGGAAGCATTCTTCTGAAGGGGGTGATGACCAGTGCCCTGATTCACAAATGGCAGGAGGGCCCCTCGGTCCAAATAATAGGGCTCCAGATAAAATCGCAAATACCTTGTTTGTCAGGACCCTGGGGTATCTAGCATCAGCACAGACATTGACGGTCATGAGCCGGTCCCTGTTTTGGAGAGACATAAGTTGGCTGGTTGTGCTGGGAGAGATGAACACATTGTGTAAGTGGATTGGTTGTCTCCCACAAGGGGCCATCACACCAGAAAGAGCTTAGGACATCACGGCACCTTCACTTAGTGATCTCTATGGGACAATAGTTTATGGCAGAAGAGTTCTAACGACCTGGAGGGCTCTCCCTCTCCACAATGAGCAAGGGAACGCACCTGCCTTTGTGGTGGGGCCTCACAGATAGTCTGAGGACTAGGATGGCCCTTAGATTAGGCAACTAATGCTTCACCATTGTCCGCATACAGATACCTCAGTTACCATGAGAACCATCTAGAAAGAGCTGTCCAGGCCGCTCGGCAACTACATTCAGTATGCATCTAATATACACAAGAAGATACAAAAAGGACCTATGTGTTCAGTCATTCCTACCAATTTGGGCCCTTTCTACGGGGTTCCTACTGCCCTCACACCGTCTTCTTGATACCCACCTTCCCTACATAATTGCTGACAGCCATCTTTGGAAGTAGCTTCAAATGAAAAAATGGATGGATGAATAAATGAACAGATGGATGAATAAACATCCCTCTCCTATTTGTTGTTAATAAGCTGCATTTAATCAATCAACCTCTTGTTATACATAAAAGTCAATTCCACATTGCTTATAGACATAAGCAGGAGGGAAATTTCCAAGAGCAGCTTCGTGATTCAGATGGAGGGAAAAACATATAGACTGTGTTGAAGAAATTAATGTAATAGGATGATAAGTTAGAGTAAATGAAAAATAAGGCTTTTTTTTCACCAGACAATACCACCAAGTGGGTAAAGAGGCAAGCTACAGGGTGAGAGAAAATGTTTACAAAATATCTCTCAAGAGCCGTATGTGTAATATAGAAAGGACCCCTACAAGTCATTAAGTTAAAGAAAAAATAGACGGGTTGAAAGAAAATGAGGTTTCCAAGTGCATGTGAGGATGAGCATTAACTGGCATCTTGCTGGTGGAGAGCAAGCTGGCATGATGATTCTGGAGAGGTTGACACCATTTACCAGAGCTGAGCATGTGTCTCCAGCAACTTCGCACCTCGTGATTTTGTACAGCTGTTCATCCATGTTCACATATTAATGACGGTCCCAAATTCAAGGTCCCCAAACACTCACCAAAACCCAGAAACATATCCAACACAGGGCAGTCAGACCTTCACATCTGCCAGTCACACCTGCCTGTGGATGAGTCTCAAACAACACTAATAAACACGGCCGGTCCTGGCAATGCATATGCTGTATGACTGTTGCAATGGTTTGAATGACACATCCCTCA